GTTGTTTGGCTCAAAAAAAAAAAGATAGAAAAGCACTTTCAAGAATTGTCTTGAAGTCTTCATTGTTAATCAGAATAACCCTGGTACTTCTGAGTTGGTCCTGATTGTAGCTTTTCTAATAAAGAAGTGAGCTATGAGCTATTTTCCCCTCCAGTTGGTTTATGTGTATATTTCCAAACAATTACTGTGTTTACTTTGGAAAAAATATATACTCAGTTTCTGATAATAGTGGCTTTTACAAAGAATTCACTGAGAACTTGTATTTTTTAAAATTTAAAGTATATATCATTGTATTCTGATATTTCTGTTATTATTATTTGATAATCTTTTTTTAGATGATAACATTTCTTTGTGAACATGAAACAGAAACTGAATTCTGACATTATATCTTGTTTATATTTTTTCAGGAGTTAATTCAAGAACAAATTGAGGTATGGTCTTTGGAAGATAATATATGTATGTACTTTAAGAATGCTATGAGATGGAAATGTTTTACTAATTAAATTTAAAATGAGAACATGTACTACATTTGATTTTCTATACAATTTTGGTAGGTTCCTGTTTTCATCAGTAGCCAAAATAGGCACTTGAATTCGCTTATTCATTATGTTGCTTAGTATAAAAAAGCATATCCAGAGAGCAAGAATTTTCCAGAATAATTTAATTATTTAACTAGGGAATCCATCTTTATTTGCCGTCAAAGGGAATTTCTATAAGTGACTTGAAAAACCATGGCATGTTCCACACGGATTATTATTTTGTTGTGAAGATTTGAGAACAGACTTACATTTATATATACCATTAAAAAAGTAATCAGTGAATTGGTTCATGCAAGCTGATTCTCATTTTATAATGTGAATAATTATAGAGGAAAACAATTGCAAAATCAGCATCAGGAATAAAAAGTTGTATCAAATTCATCTGTTTGAACATGACTCCAGATCAGTAATAACATGTGCAACCTTTTTACCTCAAGAGTTTCTGAATAACATGCTGGAAATAAGTTGATATATCTAGGACAATAAATTTAATTTAGGTATATTAAAATTATATATAATATTATTAAACTCAAATTAGTACATTTAAGTACAGTTTAATTAAATACTTCCCATTATTTTCTTCTTCTATCGTATGAAAAAATAAAAAATAAAATAAAATTTAGCAGCAGCTTTTGGCATTCTGGCACTATAGCTAAGGTTTTCAAAGGCTACAGGTTGTAATTTGTAGTTCTCATCCTATCTGACTACTAGTACTTTTCGTTCTTAAACATTTTTAGAAAATCAAGTAATATCCTTCTGTTTTCAGTTACTACAGACAACTGGTGGGGCACAAGCGACATTACCATTAACCATTCTGAAAGTGCTAGCTTCCCAGGCCTGCCATGGTAAGGAAAATATTTTTATGCCTTTTTGTTCTGAAGCAAACATGCTATCACTGAAAAGTCAGCCGTAAAAGAGAACAACAGCGATCCATTATTTTTCTTGCTGAAGAATTTGGGACATAATTTACACATTGGCTATGCTTTAGATATATGTCAATTTTCTGAATAATTCTGAATCCGGAGGCAAACAGAACCAGCCTTTATCACCTGCACTTGGAGCCTTCTCTGATTCCCACCCAGGACTCACCAGGGTATAATTTTCCCAAGTGCCCCTGACAAAATCCCTGATGATTTGAACTGGAATTTGATCATTTGATTTTCTAGCAAATGAAAGACATTACAGCCGATTCTTCATGGAGGAATTCTTGCAGGGGAAGGAAGCTCTGCATGCTGGTCCCAAGCCAGCATTCGGCTTCCTTCTTTGCCTGTATATGGATATATATTCTCTAATTTAGCAGAGAAGCTGCCAAAAGATGATGCCACCAAAATGGCTTATTCCAATTTGTAATCTGAGGCTATAGGATGCCAGAAATTTCAGAAGGATAAATCCAACATAATTTTCTTCCTTGTCCCATTTTGCTAATCAGAAAGCTGTTTTTGCCAGTGAAAACGTCTGATTGCGGAAGAACCAAACAAAAGATGGTGGGCGGCTTGTGGGATGAGCAGCAATACAGTGAGAAGTCCAGAGAGACATCCATTGGATCAAATGGCTGTCCCCAGTATGGGAGGAAACCTAGGCCAGCCCTAAAGTATATGTTACAGTTTCAGCAGGTTACATAGATATCTTAGTTTCCCACTGGTTGTGTTCATAGAACCAGAGTGGTTAACGATCTAGCAGATGCATTTGCACAAATACAATATTTGGGTTTTTTAATCTTTTATTTCTTTTTGCAATGTAGTATTTTTTCAAATATTTTTATGAGGAATTATAAATGAAATAAATAAAAGCAAATGTAAACTATGTCAGTCATTCCTTGCTAGCAAAAGTCCAATAAGGGAAACAGGATATAACTGTTTTCTTTTTTTAGCCTTTTAGAATAAGCCATCTTTATAACTATTTCCCTCTTTTAGCCAAATAGAATAAATCAACTTTATATATCTTCCCTGAATTTTTCAGGGTCTCACTTTTTAATCCCCTCAGAAAAAGGCCCAGAACTAGTTTTCTTTTCATCTGTTCTTCTAGTCACAAGTCTTTCAATATTTATCCTTTCATGTGTCTGTCTCCATGAAATCTTTCTAGACCTTAACAAAATTATTTTATATATCTAGTAAGAAAAAATTATCCAAATACATTTCTTGGTACATCTCCTTTGGGGAATAAATCATCAGTATGCACTATATGTCCATATCTTTCTCCATATCACTGCTTATCACAGTTAAATCTCTCTTCAAACTAATTTCAGAATTATCAGTTAAAGCTTGTTCTATAACTTCATTAAAACATTTGTTCATTTTATCAAGAAGTTTGTCTATGTGCTCAAAAACATTGGCAAAAAAATGTTCAATAACTTTTTTATTATAGAATTCTGCTCCGTTCTTTTCTTTATCCTCTAGTTGCCTCTAGTATTCAGCCTTTGAGGGCCCCTTACCACAAAATCCCAAAACAAAACACTATTTTCTTCTGAAAAAAAGCATTCTAATTAAATCAAAGCTAAAATTCTAAATGAAACTGGACCTTTAATTCATCATTAGCAATCAGAAATCTATATTGCAAGTACCCCTTTACTGTATTATCCACAACCTCCCCCCATACACAGGTAATTCTCAATTTACAACCATAATTAGGACTGGAATTTCCATCACTAAGTACAGAATCATGACTGATTTTACTACATTTTTTGACATGATCTTTAAGTGATACACCAGGCTTCCTCCATTGACTTTGCTTGTCAGAAACCCCCTGTAATTAACACAAATGGCAATTACATGACTCTGGGATGCTGCAACCATAATAAATACATACCAGTTGCCAAGCACCTGAATTTTGATCATGCAACCACGCTGCAATACTTGTAAATACTTGTAAATACTTGTATTATGACTGGTCATAAATAATTTTTAGCACCATCGTAACTTTAAAAAGTTATTAAATGAATGGTCATAACTACGTGACTTGTTTTGGGGGGGGAAAAGGAAAAGGAAAAAAGAGGAAATCAATTGTTCTGAAAAAAAATACCTTTTTTTCAAAAAAATGAGGAAATAAATTGTTTTAGAAAAATAAAAAAATAGTTTTTGGAAAAAAGATGAAATAAATATTTCACCACAAAACTCTCCTACTCTTCATTCTTTTTAGGTGCTATTAAATTCAACGACAGCTTGACTTTAGATGAAAGTTGCCATCTTATGGCTTCTTTGTCATGTTGTCAACTGCCTTTCCAGTGTGCTCATGGGAGACCTTCCATGTTGCCTCTTGCAGATGTGGATCATTTGCAGCAGGAAAGTCAGGTAAGCCACAGAGCATGTAAGATGCACATTGTGTTGACTCTTCACTGCTGAAACTGTGTGTCAGTTTCATCTACAATGGGCCTTGGTTAAATAGAATCATGGCTGTGAGATGGGCGACTCTATACATTGTTTAAATAAGTAAATAAAAATGAATAAAATCCCTTCTTGCAGTTGAATGTTCTAAGATATTTAACGTCAGCTGAAGAACTTTGTCTTCTTTTAATCTGTAAGATGCAATTGAAAGAATGTCAAAGTGTGATATTGCCCAAAGATCTTGTGTCCCGAGGGATTATAGCCATAGGAAAGACAATGTGATTCATGTCAATAGATAGCTGCTTTTCCTATTTTTGTGCCTGCATTCTTTGAAAATGTAAAGGTAAAAAGGTCCTTAAATCAAACTCTATCCCTAGGACTTATAGTTTCTCAAACTGCGCAGTTGTTTACCATCAAAATTCAGCAGCAAACTGCATTATGGATCCTGCAGAGTTGACAGCAATTTAAGGGTAAATTCTGGAGAAATCACAGAAAGACTTAGGAAGGTCATATATAACCTGCAAGTTTTTGATCCCTGCTGTATTTCATGCCAAATAATATGCAACAAATTTGAACATTTGTTAATCCGAATGCCAATTATTAATAGAGGATTGTCTGGGTCATTCTCTTAATTAATTATTGTCACTAAATCATTGGCATTTTTTTTCCCTTACAGCCAAAACCTAATCTGGCCAAATTAAGAAAAATGGTTAAAGCCTGGAAGCTTTTTGGAAAAGAAAAAGAATCTACTTTTGAAGTTGAAGCCTCAGCAGTTCTATGAATACAGATGCTATCTAAACTCTCATTTTTGTACTATGAATTCCCTGGTATTATGGAAGATGAAAATTCAATATTTGGAAAGCAGTCTAATACTTTGGAACATCTGTGTGGGAGCCAAAAATCTGTTCTCTTGTGGAATATGGAGTAATTTCATGTGCACTGGAACTATTTTGGTAATTTGAAAAAAAAGTCTTATTTTTTTAAAAATAATGAATCCTTGCCTCTTTTTACCAAAGTAGTTTCACATATTTGCAGTAAGTTCAGCAAAATTCTGACTTAAGCAATAATTCTCGTATTTTGTATCAATTCATAAAGGGAGCTAAATTTCTAGTGCAGCTTGTACTTTTTTTTAACAAATTACTATTTAAAAACAGGCTTCCATCATTTTGCTATTGCTAACATGCAGCATAGATTACCTATCTATTAACTCTAGATGAAACAAAAGTGGGAACAGGCTCCTATGCTATAGGTTAAGAAGCAATGTAACTACCATTTCATATTTAGTCGGTTTTCTATCTCCTTTTTGAAGCTTTTTCTACTGTATATATTATAGAGAACCTTTCTCAACTATTTAAGAGCAATGCCTTCTTTCATGACGTCAAAGATAAGCAATTCTGATATCCAAATGTTTTAAACTAGAGTACAGTTCTCACAATTCTTTGTCACTGACCATAAAAGCAGATGTTTATGGGAACTGAAATCCAAAGTACCTGGGGGACTTTAAATTGGCTATTCCTGAATTAGTATGGCACTGGCTTATGAAGACTTTAGAATGTTGTGGGATATTACTAATAAAGTTATTGGAAGAAACCTAGAACACAAGGAATTCTCATGCCGATAGAGATAGTGCAGTTAAAAAAAATGCTTTTGAAGAAACACTTTCATTTTCTGTAGTTTATTTATTTCCCCAATGAAAATATTGGTATTTGTTATATCACCCATTTATGCTGAAATAAATTAAGCCCATAATGCAAAGTTTCAAAGTTCACGATCATCAGGATGATAAAGTTCGCTCATAAGACGATAGATATAAGAAGGAGCATTGCCTCCAATGTTTGAAATGAAGAGTGTGATAAGTTCTGGAGGAACGTAGTCAAAAACTGGACAGTAAACATTGACCTTTGATAGAATCTCTCCTGAAAGAAAAAGATTTACATGATTGAAAAATGACCAATAACGCAAAAAGAGAGATTGGGTGACCAGCAGTTATAAAAACCCAGAGTAAAAATCAATTTACTCTCATATTATTTAGAGTAAATTATTTGCACTTAGGTCCATTGAAACCACTGAAAAATAGTTTAAAAACCTACTTTCAATGTAAATGCATTCAACTGAGAACTTAGTTACAGGCATAAATCTATGTGTGTTGGTCTTCTCCCTTAAAACAAGACTTTGCTAGGAGAGGGGAGACTGCTTACCTAAAACTTCTATTTTGCCTTGAAGTTCTGAGACTAGATGGAATATCTACCAGCCCCTCAGACTAGCATAGGTATTTTCCCTCCCACTGATTTACAGAAGGAAACAACAAGTGTTGGAGCATAAGCACCAATGAAAACATGGCAACTGGTAGTTCCATCTAGCTAATTTGTTCATATAGTCTAGCTGCCAGAGTGGTTCCATGATGAGAATTTTCATTAGAAAAGGTTGGATGCTACATATAGCAATAGTACTTAAGACTATATACCGCTTCACAGTGCTTTACAGCCCTCTCTAAGCGGTTTACAGACTCAGCCTATTGCCCCCAACAATCTGGGTGCTCATTTTACCGACCTTAGAAAGATGGAAGGCTGAGTCAACCTTGAGCCGGTGAGAATCGAACTGCTACAGCTGGCAGCCGGCAGAAATAGCCTGCAGTACTGCATTCTAATCACTGCACAAACACGGCTCATATCCTAAATTCCAAGTTGTAAGCAAGGGCCTCCAATCTGAAGGCTGACTAATTTTACACAAATTAGATGGGGATCACACTAAGAAAAACTGAACAGGGCCAGAATCCACATTTTGTGCTCTCTTAAGTGATAAAATTAATATTTCTCCATACGTCTCAAGTAACAAAGAATTTACCTTCTGTAAAAGGCAATACTTCCTGTGGAGAGACAAACTTGTGGAATGAATCCTCTTCATTAAGAAACTGAAAGTGAGAACAGCAAGAGACAGAAGGATTAGACATAATCTCATCTACTGAATATTACCCTGCTCTGTAACATAGGTTAGGGGACCTCAAACTTCATTACACCACAATCCCCTCAAATGAGAAATATTTCTCTATAATCCTACTGTAAATAAAACTAACAAAATAAATGAATTCAAAAACCTGTTTTGATTGCCCACTGTTTTTGATAGATGGTTAGATCCAAAGATTTAACCATTTCTCAGAACTTACCCAGGGTTTTGTTCCTCACTTTAACTGAGCAAGCATTTTGTCAATTTCAGTTAAACCTGAAGAAAGTTTTGATAGTACTCCTACTTTGCTTCCAAAGGACTGATCAGCGTTTTAAAAGTAGCAGTCCCACCTTGTAAATTGCTAGCAACTTGTGGGGATGGGATGGGGGATGGGGAGATCACAACCACTGTTTGAGAATCCCTGCTGTGTGCCATAAATTATGTTAGAAAAATACATCATACGGCTCATCGTTTCACTGACTCAGATTCTTCTCCGAAAAGTACACCGCTTGCTTGCAGACCACTAGCAGGATCCCATTTTTCCAGTGCATTCTTATTTATCTTTACATCATCACGCTGGCACTTTTGTATTTCTCTGAACCAAAGACACCGTTCAAAAATCACTGCACTTGCCTGTGGTGTGAGTTTGAACATGGGTGCACAGACAATGAGAGGGGTAGAATGGTGTTTGGCTGCTAATGCCAGAGTATGAGTTCCACTGACAGCTATTAATGCGCCATTGGCCAAAATGGTTTTTGTTCCAATGATAACCTGCAAAATACAAGGGGACAATGAAAACTGCTTGTCATAACAAAATAAAAATTAATCTACATAAGATTAATAAATATTCTTTTTCTACATCATAATCTAAATGTTGGTTGACAGAAAAAACATGGTAAATTGTGGTCACATGACTGCGGGATGCTGCAAACAGTCATAAATGTCAGTTGGTTGCCAAGAGTCCAAAATGCAACCACGTGACCATGGGATATGTGTGTGTGGCTATCGAAACTTTGAATGGTTGCTAAGCAACTGGCCAGAAGTTGAAGACCACCTGTAAAAAGAAATCTGGATAAAGATACAATTGGTATGATACTGAATCACCAACAGTACAATGTGCAAGATACACATATGAAAGTCTATGATTCAGCAACAAGAAAACATGTCAATTCTAAAGAGGCAAACTCAACTCCAAGAAGCCCACCTTGTTGACTCGAGACATGACAGCAAAGATGGCAGCATCACTCATGACTGTGGTTTCTATATTCTCTTTAGACAAACTGACAGCCATTTCATGGCCCTGCAAGGAAAAAAAAGATGTGGAAAGATTAATATTTGGGGAGATACAACAAGTAAACATTGTGAGCTACGCATTCTGAAGCTTCTTAAATGCATATTATCAAGCTAGGCCACACAAACAATTCCAGTAAGTTCAGCAAAAGAAAGGAAATGCAGTGAGATATCTGGCTGGGTAATTTTTAATTGTGTAAGCAACAGTGCATTTCCACTTCACCAAGTCTACACATTTTATCATAGTATATTTTTATTTAAAATGATGTTCCATGTTAAGCATTAACACCAAACAAGAGCAAAGAAGTTGTCACAAAACAAGCCTTTACCTGGCAAAAGGGTGCACATTCAGCCACAATGACATGGAATTTCCTTTTACGTGCTGCCTCTTTCAGGAAAGCCTCCACTGTGCGTGAATAACCAATAGTCATAATCACCTCATTGGAGTGGATGTGTTCCAAAGCCTGGGTGGAAATATTTTCGGTAGTGCTCTCTACAAGGAAAAGAAATCGAGTCATGAGAGAAGAGACAGACACAACACAAATTTGCCTGGAAGACATCAATCAACATTTCTCATAATTTCCTATACATAAATCTCTAATCTAACTGAGATGGTTATGAAGACTTACTTAATAGATAAGTCTATATTTCCTAGAATTCTCAATTGATAAAATCAGTAGTCATGAATAACTGGAATATAGTAATAAAAATTGGTTGGAAAAGCCTAAAGTAGAATGTTTTAAAGACATTTTTAAAAGACCACCTAAATATTTGCTGACAGAATGCATAGGATAGGTATAGGCAATTTTTTTTTACTCTGATGGACACAAGAGAATTTTGAGATTATAATGTAGACTTTTTAAAAGAATAGTTGTTGGGTATATTGCACATTTTAAAAACCCATTCGGTTGAGCATGGCCAATCCTAAAAGATATTTTGACATGCAGACTATGCATGTCATCTTAATACCCACCCACCTACCTCTGGATTGCTCTATATCAGTATTTTTCAATCTTAGCAACTTTAACATGTATGAATTTCAACTCCCAGAATTCCCAGCTGGCCAGAATTCCATAATTTATTTTCTAAGACTGAAACGCATAAGCATTCTTGAAAATTATGTAAATTTTGGACGCTAGTATTTTGTTTTACAATATGCCAACATCTTATTTAAAATCAGGTAAGATTCTGTTGATTTTTAACAGATTAATGTATATTACATTACACAACTTAATTTGTCTTTGCAATTAAAATTGGAGAAAAGACTTATGTACAACCTGCTTAATGTCTTCAAATTGCATAGACAAAATATTTACTGTAAGGGTTGTTCCATACAAGGCAATTATTTCTTAGCATTGTTCAGTTTACAAATCAGGCTATACTGCCTTTGCATTGTTTAAAATGTAACTAGCACTAAAATCTTTCTACTGTATTCCCATTTAAATGGAAAAGATCTTTCTGCTGGTTGGAAGGCAGCTCAATGCTGCAATCTAGGATGTAAATTCAAAAATCTTATTTTACTAGGAATTATCTAATTTCTAATTTCTCCTATTCTACCACCAGCTTCTCTTACCAAGTTCAAGCAGCAGCTCTCTAATGGCATCAATAATATTGGCCCTTAGTGGCTGATAGCAGATCTTGAAATCTTCACTGAGACCTCCTGAGGTCAGAAGTTTGTGCAGAGATTCTTGCTGGTCACTCTCCTCACTACGTCCTCGAAGCCTGTGGAACAAATAATTTCAATCCAGCCAAAGTGAGAAAATGTAATCCTGATGGAAGCTTATACTATTTGCTAGTGTGGTTCCTTCAAAAGATTTAAGAACTTTAAAAGTCATGTCTCTTGGAGGAACATTGCTCATTGTTTAATAGAACAGACTGTCAAGCAAACAAAATAGGCTTAAGAAAACAGCTTTAATACAGGAAGAACCATATGGAAAGTAGTGCATACTTAAATAACTTGAAGGTTTAACAGCTTACAAGGGTGCACATTGCAAAAGTATACCTACAAAGAAATGTGAACAGTTCCTTTGTACAATCGAAGTTAAAAATATTAGGAAACATAAATGAGGTTAGGCTGATTTTGATTCTTCAAAATTAATATTACACAGAAAATATTTTCTCAGAGAGTGCCAAAATAGTGAAAATAGGACAAGCTAAAGCAAACTTACCTGCTGTATTCTTCACGAATTATCTTCAACACTCGTCTCACCATGTTACCTACAGTGGTCTCAGATGGTTGGGCTGCACTCATTCTCTTACCTTCCTTACGAATCAAGTTCATTAGTTCTCCTGAAATGAGAGGGAGATACATCTGGTAATTCCTTATATATCTACAGTTCAATTTATTTCTTCCCCTACATACTTACTTAACTTATATTCTATTCCTCTATCTTCTCAGTTAACTGGACCTTTTATCATCAACCTTTAACATGGGGCTTTTATACTATTACTTGACATTATGTGTACGCAGTTATCTAAATAAGAGTTTCCATGACTTGCTTGTTTAAACCAGACAATATTCTTGCTAATTTTAATCAACCAATCAACGTCAAGATTATACACTACAGGGCATAATGAGATATCAGGCTGCTTCCATCTTTCTTAACTTTTCTAAAGTCCCTCAAGATTTAGCTATGTCATCAGGCTTGGGGCCCCCCAGGGAATGGTGAGTTGTTGAGATGGCGCCACTATTGTTAATATATGTCATTCTCTCCTTGCCTTTTTAAAAACTATAATATTAATTTATTTAAATTGCTGTCTTTTATATTACTATTTTTTAATCTTTTTATTGTGGCAGTCCAGAATCACATTTTTGTGAGATAGGCAGCTATCTAGATATGATAAATAAACAAACAAACAAAATGCAATGGGAGATTGAATTACTAACTTTCATATCATATTTCTGTTAAAGCAGTATTCAGGAAATATTTATAATACAATAACTAAAAACCAAAAATAAAACTTTAAAAAGGAGTTTTGTCTTTTCTATAAACTATAGGAGTCAATACAAGTACTTAAAATAGAATATTCCTCGTATATGAGCAAAAGAGCACACATCTTTCAAAAAGCCTTCTCCTGCAGATTTTAATAATCAGACATTAATAATTATTAATATAGTCATTGATTCAATGTAACAAGTAGTTTGTTAAATAGCCAGCCCCTAAGCTTGAATTGAGCCAAGGAGATAACTGGCACTCATGAAAGCCTATCAATATTCAGGTAATACGTATCAGTAACTAAAAAATTCCATATTCTTTTCAAGTAGAGTTTGTACTGAGGTGTTTTACATATGAAATAACCTAGGTACAATTGCTACTAAATCCAATTGTACCTACTGTGTTAAATGTAATCAGGGCTTTTTTTCTCATAGAATGCCCAGAACGGAGTTCCGGCACCTTTTTGGGATGGAACCTTGTAGGGTAGGCAAGGCGGGTTGTATGACGTGTGTGAGTTCTGTCACCTTTTTTTTTTTTTTAGAAAAAAAGCACTGAATGTAATCCTGAGCATACAGTCTTTCCTACTGCTATTTAGAGGCAAGGGATAGCAAAGAATTCAGGAGTGTTCTAAGCTATGAAGCTATCTTTAAGTGAAAGCAGGCCTATTTCCAGATTAAACTGAATTTCAATATCCAAACCAGTTTTCTACTGACCAACAACTTCTTCATTTTGACTGGCAGTATCTATCACAAGATACTCCTCAGTAAGTTTTATTCAACTTTGACAAACTTCCATATCAGTTTTTTTAAATATTAGATAACATTAATGGCTCCTAACTATGAACTATTTATCGTAGAAACTTCATGGATATCAGCACTGTTTGCAGGAGATGTCAAAAGCTAAAAATATTTTTTAAACTACTTTTTTAAATTTATTCTATGCAGTCATTATGATAGTAAAAGAATAAGCTTTCTTTGCTACCTTCACTGCCTGGGAATAGTATTTACCTTATATTCAATATCCTTTGTTTTGAGATTTTATCATTTCTTCAGTCATCTTTCCCTAAATTCCCTCTTAAACTAAAATGGAAAGGATATTTTGAGGGTGCTATATTCACATAATATCTTTAAACACAAATTAGCCAGTTCATTATAATTAACCTAGCCCAACCCATATGATTAATTAGTTCAGTGTGTAAATATCCAAGCAACTAAATTAATTTGGTAAACCATCGTTAAGAACACCATCTCTTCCATGCTTCAGTAAAGGGGGAAGGAAACTTTGCAAGCTCGTTCAAGAAAACATGGGTGATACATCAGGTGCCTGGGGTGGACTTTAAGTTGTCCATCCTCATCTCTGCAAAATACCTTATTGACACATAGTTTGAAACTCTTTAGAAACGGATGTATCCATGCCAATGAAGTCACTTATGACTCCTCTACCTTCAGAGCTTCAGTTCCAAATACCAGAGAATATTTTGACAGATACATTTCGTCATTTACGGATTGGAGAAAGAAAACACTGGAATTTTACAATTAGCCTTTCTATAGATCAAACTTCCATGGCAATTGAATTTTTCTAGGTGGAAAGAAAAATTATATGCCTTGCAGTGGGCTTAAACAATAGTGTATTTCGCTGACTGAACCTATTACAGAGGAGCATCAAAGAAACCGACTGAATTAAGACTTAAGAAGTATTTTCACTTTTTCTGTCTTGGAAAGTAATTAGCCGTGTTTTCTGTTTTATGCCGGGCCGGGGATAAAGCCGGATCGAGGGAAAGAAGCTGAATCCAGCAGCCCGTGAGGGCATATATATAAGCCTGTGCCTACCCCGCTTGCTCACCAGCATTGTCCCAGCGCCCGTTCGCCACGATCTTCCGCAGCAGCCCCACCGTCCGTCGGGCCACCTCCCCTGAACGCGGCAACTTTCCGCCTCTTTTCAGAAGCATCACGAAGTCTTCGATCTGGCCGGAAAGTTCGGACTCCTTCTTGGTTGTCACGACCGACATGCCCGCGACTGAAGCTGAAAGGGCTGTAAAGATCTCAGCAGGGAACGAAAAAAACAGGCTTTGGTTGCAGACCGGACCTTCACAGAGCATCAGACGCCTTTCCGGGGAGGTGGGTTGCCATTGGACAGAACAGCTGGTTGGTGCCGCCCTTCCATGCTCAATCGTGAATTAAACGTTAGTTGAAAAAAACGGGGCGTTCCGATGTCATGAGATCGTCCCCCAAAAGTTCTGGTTATGGGGTGGCTTCTTGTTAAACCTCTTATAACCACAAAAGCGACTCTTCTTGCGCCACAACATTTAAACACGGAAAGAGCCAACCAAGCCATCGGGTCCAAAGGTGGGACGCCATCACCTTTTCAAATCTTGGGAATCCGAAGAAATGTTAACCTTTGCATTTGTGACAGATATAAATCAAATATATAAATAAAATGAGAAAATTCCAGTTGCGTGTTGTCTCAACGTTCCCCATTACACACACACACCACACTCTGACTTCCCACTCCCTCCTTGTTCTGATACAATTTGTGTTGGACAGCAAGGATGGAACAGTTTTTATCTGGTTTTATCATTTATTCCATTTATACTGCCGCCCATCTCACATGAGATGAGCCACCCAGATCTCATACTCATCTAGTTCGCTCACAATTAAAACATAAATGGTACCTCCTCTAAAGTAAATGAAGCAACCAATACAAAACATTCAGAACAGTATCTCCCCCTCCCCCGCCCCAGCACAATCATCCAACAAGGACATAGACATTTTATGGACTCGACACTGCCCTCTTATGGGTGTGAGTAAGCAAATAAGGCACACATGGATAATGGTAAAAATTCTGGGCAGGATCTGGCAGCAGAGGGAAAGTGTATTTAAGCAATAAATTTAGACTATTTTTTTCCTTATTTCCTTTGAAAGCTCTCAGCATATTTGGTATAACTTTCTCAAAGAAAGGAATTAAGGACTATAATTACAACAATACAAACTAATACAAACCAAAAAAAGAGTAGAAGATGCAGAAAAGAAAGAAAAGAAGAATATAGTAAAAAAGAAAGAAAATAAATATATAAAATGACATTTCCACCTTCATCAAAAGTGTAAACAATTTTAATAATTTATTACCTTCTCTTAAAATACAGCAAGTAATCTCTTCTTCACATATCCTATCTCTTATCTATAAACAAATCTATAAAGCATCTTCATTTCAGTCCTAATGTCAATCAAAGTCCATCAAGAGTTAACAGAGATAACAACATAGCTATGTTAACCTTGACCAAATAAACTAACTTTATATTCCTTCCATTTTTTTCTCACTTTCATAGAACTTGGTTTCTTATCTTTTGTCCCTCCTCACAAAATTATTCAAAACATAACAAGGATCTTTTGTAAATCCCACATAGGAAAATTATCCAGGTCACTTTTTTCATTTGTTGTTTATACATCTCTTTTAATTATTAAGACATCAGCCAGTTTATTTTGTAACATCTTTTTCAATGTCATTATTATAGCCTATCATTATTATAGCCTATCATTTATAAACCTACTTTCAACTCAGTCTTGATCTTGTCAGGTAGAACTTGTTCCTCTTTTAGACACAATCTATCTATAGATGCAGACACTTTTAAAAATTAACTTCTGTGTGAATTGATTGAAAAATGTCCATTATTTTCACTGCTGAATTATTTTGCTTCATTCTGTAATTGTAAGTTGAATTTAAGTTTCTTCTTCTTTAATTGTAATTTTAGTTCCTCCTATTTTCCCCAGTGTCCAATTTTGAAATCTTATTTTTTCACTAAAGGTTGAGGGAAACTCACGTGGTATAGTAAAATGTTTTGATCTAAATGTTCCTAATAGCTGAACAGCATTTAACAAGCAATTTCTGAAAGTGATTAGAAAAGAAATTGTCCTTTCAAAGGTGGTTGAGCAGGATGGTTATTCTGTCATCTCTCAGAGCACTAAATCCGCTATCTTGCAGTCTCTTCATGAGGAGCAGCCATCTGGAACACTTGTGGGTGATATCAAATCCTTTCTTGTCCAGAGAAGAATTATCAAAGAGCTGGTCTACTTGCCAGCTTTTCATTCTGCCATGATGGTTGGTTCTGCTTTTCGGAGCCATCATCAGTTCACCATTTCTTCCCTAATCAGAAAGGAATTTTTTAGAAGGACCTCATAGCTTAGTAGGAACTATTTCTATTTGAAATGTTATTATTTCAATTGTAATTGATAACAATACATACAAAACCTTATATTCTAGGATATTTAAACTTTTGTGCCAGGATACTTCTAGAATTTTGAGAATGTATTATTATATTCACCATCAGTTTTCATAAAGGAAACAGATGAAGATGGTATCCTTCTAACCTTTTAGCTTCTGAATCATATTAGCCTACTTCTAAGAATATAAACTGCTTCTAGCCAAACACTGGCCTACAGCCATCCATTTTTTCTACAAATGCCTTCAGCAATTCTGTGGGACCCCCAGGAATTGTTGGGAAAAAGATGATTTCATTGCTTTATGAAATTTAGTTTTTCCATTTGTTTATCATTAATTTAATATAAAATAAAATTGGTCATGGAACTTGTCAATTACTAAATGAAGTATTGTTGGGAAAATTCATGCTCATTTGTATCACATTAGTCTGATTTTAAAGTCCTCAACTTAACACACTATTAAGAGAATATGGATGAAGACCAGGAAAAGATTCTTCCCATGTTGAAAGCAATACATGAAACCATTCTTTCAGCTTGTGACAAAATAAGATGCAGCATAAAAGAACAAGATGCCAGCTTAGATATACAAACTCAAATGTTGACTACAACCAAAGAACTAACAATGCAGAAGATAACAGAAGAAGTGGAACAATCAAATACTAAGACAGAGGACTCAATTGACCAACAAATACATTTAATGGGAAATCCAGAAAAGGGAGTGACAACACTGAAAATGGAAAAAACTTTCTATATAAATCAGAAGAAATGTGAGGAGAAAGAAAAAGAACAGATTGAATGGAAGATAAACATATCAGGACAATCATGGGGAATTGGAATAATAGGGAGATGATCTAATGAACACAAATGGGCTAGCCCTTCCAAAACAATGGCAACTAAATGGTCTCTCTTATTTCAAATAATATATATAATAATAGAGGCAGATCTATTTGATGATTTAAAAGCACTGACATGGAAGGCCAGTTAGCAAAGGAAGAAAGCCAGAATAAGGCTGAAGAAAATTGGGGTTTTGATTTATTAGAGAGGATTTCATATTACTAATTAGAGGGTTAAAGGGAGAAGTTGAGATAAGGGGAATTTTGGTCATTAAATTTAAAATATTTGGAAATTAGTTTATAATAAGGATTCTATTTGTTTAATATGTAAAAATTAGACCCAAAAGAAAAAAATATGAATATGTTTGATTGATTTATTGAAGGGGATACTGTATTATTAATTAGATGATTTAATATGGTGGAAAATAGATAAATTTTAGAAAATAGAACAAGACTATACTCAAATAGATAAGATGTGTATTTTGAATATTAGATTCTGTTATGAATTGAGATAAGGAAAACTTTGGTTACCTAAAACCTGGAAATTATAACTATCAAATGTTAAATTTGAATTTTGATGGGAAACTAAAAATTGGGGAAAAACCAATAACAGGACATTGATTATCTATAAAGATTGAATGTAAAAGTAATTAAGATATGTATAAGCTAAAAATTTATTGATAAATGTAATAATGATGTTTTCACTTAGTTGATATAATAAGAACTGTATTAGCTTAAATACGAGATAGTAGATATTAAGGAAAAAAGAGAGGAAATATTTGATGTTGTAACTTGAGATTTGTACTAAAGATTTTTGTATGTTATTGAACCCAGTCACCACGTTGCTTTTTACATACCCAAATGTAAAATTAGAAAACTAATAAAATATTATTAAAAAAGAAAGAAAAGCTGTGGTAGATCGGACCAAAGATATATCTGATTTATTATGTCAGGAGATGCATAAGTATAAGATATTAGTGATGAAGCTGTTCTCTGTATTTGTACAGAAACTGAGACATGTTGATATTGATAGTAATAAAAAGTCATCATGAGTAATAGTCAATATTCTGATTTACTGCATATTTGAACAATCCATTCTCTAACATGATATAAGCACATTTCATCCTAGATAATTCCATAGTTTAATTATGTGCTGAAGAACAGATACTTCAGCTTCCCTAAATAATCCTCTAAACTTTGATATTACAAGAGAGAAAATCTTTTCTGTACATTTTTTTCCTACTACTACATTTTATACATCTGTTATACACTTTTAAGAAAATGTTTTGTTAAACTTCAGAAACATTTAAATGAATAGTTATTTAAAAATATTTTAGTATTGTTTACATATATAACATCTATAGCACTACTTAGAAACAAAATAGCAATATAATCATATCATTGTCATATATAGGTAGTCCTCACTTACCCATCACATTTGGGGCTATTACTAAGAAAGGTGATCATAAAGTGAAACATCACATGACCATGACCTATTTACAACGTCAGTTCATCAGTTCTGTCTGCAGTCATGAAGCAAAACAATTCAGGTGATTACATGCTATGTGTCATGTGACTGATTTGTGACTCCCTGCTGGCTTCCTCACTGACTTTCCTTTTTGAAGTCAGCTGTGAAGGTCACAAATTGAGATCACATAAATGCACGCTGGTTGCTAAGCATGCACGACCAGGGGGATCCTGCAATGGCCACAACTTAGAGGATCAGTCATAAGTCTCTTTTTTCAGTACTGTCATAACTTCTGACGGTTGCTGGATGAGTGGTCGGTAAATGAGGACTACCTTTTGTTTCAAAAATAAAGATAACAAAAGATTTATATAAAACTACAATTTTAAATACAATTATATAAGATGATGTATACAATGAAGAAATAAGAGGAAAAAGGAAAAAAGTAACAGCACTATACTAATCTTCTGAGTGAGCAGAGCAAAAAAGAAAAAAA